TATATATATATATATATATATTAAATTTAAGACTAGAAATTTAAGAATTGTATAGCAGAATATAGTCCTATGTAAACAAACATGAGAACACAAGAAAGTGGATGTTTATTATATTAGTTCATTTTATATTAAACTGTAAAAAAAGCATTTTCTTCTTGTGATCACTGAATACATATTTATTTAAGCATATATACATTTAAAATTACAATATATAAGAATATATACAATTATAAGACATAAATCTGTTTCTTCAGACTGGCCAATATGTAAGACCTGCATAGCAGGGCATATCTCGTCCCTGTAAAGCACGTCAAGGTTAGAAGCTGTCCTTGTTGTATCATGTCTTCATTATATGCGTCCCTTGGCCTCCATGGACATGTGCACTCCTCTGAATTCAGCCTTTTCTTATGTCCTTGGCTTGTTTGCACTTTGCACAGGCTTTGAAGAGCATTCTCTCCTGTGGTTCTCTTACTTTCTTTGCCTCAGTATCTTTAGTATTTGAGGTTAAGACGTGACCTTTCTGGATTTAACATGCTTCCTGTTTCTTTGCCTTGGCTTTTGATCTTGTCGGTGTATGCATTTTTTGCTGTCCTTGCCATCCTTTTGTGTGCTGAGAAAAAAAAAACAGTAGAATCAAGCTCAGCAGATTAAGACATGCAGACCACCATCATATTTGGAGATGTTTGGAGTGTGTGTTGTTTGGATAAGCTGTGCTGTAGTTTAGAGACTCATTCAGTAATAACACTCTCTTACCTTTGCCAACATTTCAGCAGTCTTTTGCCTTGGCGACCTTCCGGACTAAGACACACGTGATTATTATTTTTCTGCCGTATAACTCTAATGAAAAATACAGAGAAATAATAGGACATGTAAATCCAATGGTGCATGTACATTTAGAATCTTATGAAGTAAAATGTATAAACTTACATGATCTCATCCTGTAAACAGTTAGGTCCTTTTGGAGTGACTTTGAAATCTGAAAATGGTCCCTTGATTCTTATTTTAGCCTGTGGACACTGACAGGTCTTTGGAACATATTGACTCTCCACCACTTGGACTGTATTTAGAAAAAAAAGTGAAATTATTAAACAGCCATTATGTATCAAAAAAGTTCATTGTCAGTAAGTTTTTTAAAGAAATTAATAATTTTATTCAGCAATGCATTTAAATGATCAAAAGTGACTATAATGCTTTGATACATTTAAAATAAATGCTGTTTTTATAATCTTTCTGTTCATCAAAAAATCCTTAGAAAAACTATCACTGTTTCCACAAAAATATTAAGCAGCACAAATTGTTATAATTAAAAAAAAATGAATGAGCACCAAATCAGCATATTAGAATGATTTCTGAAGGATCATGTGACCCTGAAGACTGGAGTAATGAAAATTCAGATTTGCCATCACAGGAATAAATTGCATTAAAAAAGTAATTTTAAATTGTAAAATATTTAACAATATTACTGTTTTACTATTCAGCCTTGGTGAGCATAAAAGACTTCTTACAAAAGCATCAACAATGTTTCAAACGATAGTATAGAATTAAAATAACTAAATTATTATTATAATTAACATAATTTGTAGTTAAACTTGTACAGCTTGTTTTGCAGAGATGTAAGAAGATTTAATTAAGTAGAATTTTGCCAACTCGGGTATAACCCAGCAGGTGCTCAGTTACTGTTTTAGTGGGTCTGGGATTCTACTGTAGTTCATCTGTTCTGATCCACTCACCTGTTAGGAGGATGCCGAGGTTGAAAGCCAGCAAAGCATGCACTGTCAGTGTCATGTTGAAAGTGTTTCTGTGTGCAAGTGCTCAATGGCCTGCTGTCATTTTATACTCCCTATGAGGGACTTCCCAGCTCTTGTGCCACTCCTGGAAATTCCAGTGCTTTGTTGCTACTCCCACGGGATCAAACCATTTGAGCACAGATAATAGAGAGTCATTTCCAACATCACACTACTGTAGGAATCTTTAAAAACTTGGTCACATGTACATTAAAAAGCCTATGAGGAATTCTTTATTCACATTTGACCCAAACATGTAAATTCTGTCATTATTTTCTCACCCTCATGTCGTTCCAAAACCATATGATGTTTTTTTTTTTTTCACTGTTAAAAAAACTTCTGAAGCAATATGTATAGTTTAATATGTGGAACAGACTCAAATTCATTTTCACAGAAAATATCCCTATCCTTAAAATGGAATATCATTTGCAACCGTGTCAGATTCAAAAGTGCCAAGTCAACATCTCAAACCAGCCACTAATCATGGAGGGGCAGTTTTGAATACTGATATGAGATTTGAGAGCCGCAATGGTGTGAATAATTAAATTATAATTATAATAATTACATAATTCTCAGTGAATAATTAAAGTCATTTGGGCTAATTTTATAGTGTTTTTTTCTCTTTTGGAGCTTGTCAGATGCATTCACCATGATTTGTATTAATTTTATTTTTCATATTTTTTCCAATGAAAAAAGTGATTATTCTGTGACCTTTCAGAAGATTTGAAAACATGTCATGGCAAGCCTTACGGCAAGATGACACATTCTGTATGTAACTGTAGGACCATGTGATTTCCCAATATTCCTGTGATTACTTTCACTTGATCCTCCTGCACAAGATTCATACTGACATTGATTCATTTGGATGATGAATATTTTTTTTAAAGTCACATTACACATGGTATGTCTCTATTCACTGTTAATCATTCACTCAACCTTTTATATTATTAACTTTGTCTCGTTCTCCTTGCTTTCTCTCCCATTGTCTTGCTCTTCTCTAGCTGAAAGTCTTTCTATTGAGGAACCCCACTATGGATCCTGACAAGACCTCCTATGTGAGGTTGAATGAGGAGAAAGTAATTGCAAAGTAAGAGTTCCACTTTGATACACACTAAACATTAGAAACATGCCTTCTAACTAAAAGCCCTTGTTGTTAAATCATGTCTCTTTTTCAGGTCTGATATTTTGTCCCTTCTAAAAACATACAACTGTTACCACGAGGGAAAAAGCTTCCAGCTTAGGATTCGTGAGGTATGTTAGGGCACAGAGAGTGAAACTATCTGTGGATCTAAATCAAATCTTTTGTTTCCTGGTTAGTGATTAATAGATCTAATCTGGCCAAGACTTGAGTCGGAGTGTGTGAGACTGAAAAACAAAAAGATTATTGTCTCAGAATAGGAATGTGTGACACTGGAGTAAATCCAAGTGCACCATTCTTAAAGGGGTCATATGATGCGATTTCAAATGTTCCTTTCTCTTTGGAGTGTTACAAGCTCTTGGTGCATAAAGAAGATCTGTAAAGTTGCAAAGACTAAAGTCTCAAATCCAAAGAGATATTCTTTATAAAAGTTAAGAGTCAACCACACCTACCTAAAACGGCTCGTTCTAACACACCCCTACATGTCTACATCACGATGTGGGAAGATTTGCATAACGCCGCCCAAATGTTTATGCAAAGAAAGTCGTAACTTTTATTCTCTCTGTAGTATTGTTGCTGCCGTCGCCGCCATGTCGTGAAGGCGCTGTGTTTCGTTGTGAAAGCAAAACTACGTTGGTTTGCTTTGTAAAACTCGATGCGTTTCAGAAAGGCAGGGCATAGAGGAGAAACAATAATGTACAGTATGTGGAAAATAATGTGTTTTTTTAACCTTAAACCGCATAAACACATTTCATTACACCAAATACACAAAATAATGTTCTTTTTAGCAACATCATATGACCCCTTTAAAAACACTGATTAAATGGTCTTAGATGACATGTGATTGGCTGCATCCCAGACGGAACTATAATATCATTAGAAATATGTATTATGAGCTATCATTATTATATTGCTCTGAAATACTTTTTGTGACTTAGTTATTTAATTTATAATTATACTGTATATTATGATCTTATATAGAGTGCTTGCATAATTATTATGCAAGTTGTTATTCTGATCACATTTTATTTCCAAGCACATTTTACAAATTCCAAACCACATCAATCTAAATAACTACTCTTAATTTTGTCTTTAATCATTTATAAATTATATATAATTGCCAATGAAGGATGGAAGTGAAAAATGCCTTATATTCAGGTGGGCATAATTATTAAGGAGGTTTTCTTTTACAGATAAAATGAGCCAAAAAGAGATTTGACTCAAATTGAAAAGTCAAAAATTATTAAATGGCCATGAGAAGGATGCAGTACTAGAAATTGCAAAGTTAAGGCATGACCATTGGAGAGCGAAATGCTCATTGGGTCAGACAAAAAAAAACAGGTGGAGAAGAAAAGACACATTAACTGCAAAATAATTAATGTGAAGAATTAGGTGTGAAACCATCAGGAACCCTTTAGTCTCCAGTTCCACCATTTTCCAGAACTGTAATAATTATGCACACACTGTACTGTGTGTGTGTGTGTGTGTGTGTGTATATATATATATATATATTTTTTTTTTAATATAAATAAACCACATTATAATTCAAAGTCTATATTAGGCATGGGCCGGTATGAGATTTTGACGGTATGATAACCTTAAGCAAAAATATCACGGTTTCACGGTATTGTCGTTACAGCTCTAAAATGTGTTATTTTTAAATGACTGGGTTAAAAAAATATATATATATATTTTGTTTTTGAGCAACATACAGAATATTAGGAACAGTAGAATTTGTTTATTTTTCTTTGATTTGTTTCCTAAAAAGAAGAAAAATTAAAACTGACATTTTTATTTAACCTAAATCTGTAATTACAGTTATTGAATTTTAGTTATATAATTCATATACATATCATTTATATAATTTCATATCATTTAGTTATATAATTTCATATACATAATTTGGTTTAATAATAACCCAATTTGAACGAAAACAAACAGCAGAAGCTCTGAATGAGATGCAGATTCACTCTCTGACAGCAGGAGGCGCTTCTGGAACACCATATACGGCGTTTCCTTGGTTACCGCTGTAAACAAAGCAGCACTGCACAGAAACACTGCTTTAAAGGGGTCGTATGATGCGATTTCTATTTTTCCTTTCTCTTTGGAGTGTTGCAAGCTCTTGGTGCATAAAGAAGATCTGTAAAGTTGCAAAGACTAAAGTCTCAAATCCAAAGAGATATTCTTCATAAAAGTTAAGACTTGTCCACGCCCTCCTAAAACGCCTCGTTCAAACACGCCCCCACATGTCTACGTCACTGTGTGGGAAGATTTGCATAACGCCGCCCAAATGTTCACGCAAAGAAAGAAGGCGTAACTTTTATTCTCGCTGTAGTATTGTTGCCGCCGCCGCCGCCATGTCGTGAAGGTGCTGTGTGTTTCATTGTGAAAGCGAAACTACTTTGTTTTGCCTTCCAAAAGAGGACGATATCCGCTTTGTCACGCCTAGAGCTGATCCGTGCTGGTCGCTGAGGAAATACATAAACTTCGTGCTGTCAATTGCCGGATCGGCTTTTACCGTGGACGAAGCGGAGTCCAGCCCGGGGTCGTCACATGTGGTTGCCGCAAGCC